TGCAGAGGGATGGCTGGATCAAATGGGACCTCTGATCCTAGTCTTTTGAGGTATCTTCATACTGATTTCCTCAGTGGTTGTACTAATCTACACTCCTACCAACAGTGGAGTAGGGTTCCTTTTTCCCCACAGCTCTGCCAGCATTTGTTATTGATTTCTTCATAGCACCCATTCTTTCTGGGGTGAGGTGGTCAATTTTTGTATAAGTAGAAAACTTGGCAAAACTTTCTATCTATGATGCAAAGAGAGGAATGGTCAGAGGGCCAGGGATTTAGCTCAGTATTTCTGCTGCCTGCTTTGCAAGTGCTAAGGTCCCAAGTTCAATCCCAGGTACCAAAAAAAAAAAAAAAAAAAAAAAAAAGAGGAACAGTCAGTATTAGTTAATAACATTGAACTAATTTGGCTTGGATTAAAGTTATTCGTGTTTTATTCTCCTATGTGATGGGAAATCACTCATTTTAATACTGTTAGGAAAACCTGAGACAAGCAAATATGTTTTATTATTTATGTTTCAAATTTGGTAACAGTCCATGTTAGGTTTCTTCAGTTGAACTTTTTAAACTTCAGAAGGTTATTATTTTGTGCAACTCTTTAAAAATATAAACAGAATGGACGTATTACAGACCCAAAGCATGGTTTGTGAATTCTATCAGAAGTCATCATATGGAGAATCAAGTATTTCACAGTGTTCTAACAAACAGGTAAACACTCATCAAAAAATCATTTTTGAAGAAATTTAATGACTAATGAGGAAACCTGGTCATGAAAATAATAATAATATAAGAAACTCATTTTCTTTAGTGAACTGTCCTTATGGTCGTGTTAGCAAGTTGTCCAGCTCATTCATGCTCATCACCCTCACCTGCTCCAACCAGTCTCTTTAGCCGTGAACCTTCCTGGCTAGCCCAGGACACAGTTTCCCAGTGTGCACTGCTGCTATCTGATGGGACTGATGCTTAGCTGAAACTGCTGTTTTATCTGTTCAACTGTTGGTCAAAGTCTCAAACTGATCCTAAAATATAGGTAGAGTAGAATATTCATGGTACAGAAAGCCTTAAAATTAGAGATATTCAGGATAGCTTTAGATGATCCCCAGATGTGCCATTAAACATTAAATCACATGAAAAAGAATGAAGATATGGTAAAAATTGTGAAGATGATGCTTCATAATAAAGTTTGGGAATGGTGATCTTTAGTTCTGTCCCTCACCTCTGATCCTTTGTTTTTTTATTCTTCTTCATCCACTGCCTACTTATGAAGACATAAGATGCTTTGAAATGCACATTTGGTATGTTACTTTCTGTAAAAGAAAAAGATAAAGCATGCATTATCTGCTTTATCTTTACAAATAGAAATATAAGAACAAACTAAAAACAGCGAAGTCGGTGACTTATAGAGAACATAAGAGAAATTGAGGTAAGAGGAATACAATAAAGTCAGGAGTGATACTTCTTCAAGTTAACCTTTTGTATAGTTTTTACTTTGTAAACATGTTAATGTCCTGCGCATTCAAAAAAGTAACAAGGATGAGAGGGAAGGCCTCAAATTAAAAACAAATGAAAAAGAAAGACCCTAATTGCATTTAGATGAATACTATAACTCCACTGGAGGAGGGGGAAAGAGATTTATAAACACAGTATTTGATAGTATACATTTAGTCTTTGCTTGTGAGAGAGAATTGCAAACATCTTGAAGTTGTTTTTAGTAGCATTTTTTTAAATGGTAGGTTCAACAATTCTTTTTTTTTTCTCATTGAATTTATTGGTACATTTTAGGTATACAGTACAATTACATTCATCATTGGGATCTTGTACCTTTACCTGGCAGGTCTTGGTTCTCATTTTTCCCCTTGTCCCTGCCCTCCCTTCACCCCCTCCTCCCTTCCCCCTTTACAAACATTTTATTTCCATTTTTTCATATTCTCCTATTTTTTTCTTTCCCTTATTACCTTTCTCCTACCCTTCCCACTTTCCCTACCCTTAACCCCTTTTCTTCCTATTTCACATTGTCAATTATCTCTTTAGGATCTTTCAACAATTGTGAAACCATTATAGTAACATTCTAGGATTAAGCAAATGAAATGATGAGTTGAGCTTAGGATTCTCACTGAGGAAGACAAAAAAAAAAAAAGAACCCTGTGAGAATGGATTAGAACTAAGATTATTGATGTAGAGTCATCATTTCTAAAATATGTATGTATATTTACTTGCATATGATTTCCCAGCTGTCTGATAAAAGAGCTTAGCTCCCCACAGATTGCCCCCAAAGAGCAGTGAATAAAGGCATTCCAGTAATAATGAAGATACCTAGGCCCAAAATCTTGAACTTCAATAATATTCTCACTAAAACACTAATTGCAGAGATGGGCAGGACAAATGCAACGTGAGCCTGCAACTCCTTAGAATGCCAGAAAGTGCTCCAAAAAATTATGGGGGCATGTCACAAAACCCCAGGCTTCTATTTGAAGGGACTCCCACTTGCCAAATCTGGGATAATTTTAGTGCCAAAACAATATGCATTCCACTGAATATAAGCCATTCAAAATGGAAATCCAATAGTCCATATCAATAACCATTTGATAAATATATTAATAAGGGGAAAAGAAAGAGCACTTCCTTACAGTAGAATGAGTGACAACTGATAAACATGGAGAGAAGGAATGTGTTGGAATAGAATAGGTTTGCAACCAACATGGTAAATATTGAATCAGGCAAGAATCCTCATTAGATTCTAAATATAATTTGAAATTTTAATCAGAAGTAGTGTATTTTCATGATCTTACATAGTCTTCCCAATTTCTTTTTTCTTTTTTTTTTTTACAGTAGAATGAGTGACAACTGATAAACATGGAGAGAAGGAATGTGTTGGAATAGAATAGGTTTGCAACCAACATGGTAAATATTGAATCAGGCAAGAATCCTCATTAGATTCTAAATATAATTTGAAATTTTAATCAGAAGTAGTGTATTTTCATGATCTTACATAGTCTTCCCAATTTCTTTTTTCTTTTTTTTTTTTTATATTATTGAGTTTATTGGCACATTTTAGGGACACAGTACAGTTACATTCATTGTTGGGATCATGTACCTCTACATGGCAAGTCTTGATTCTCATTTTTTCCCCTTACCTCTGCCCTCCCTTCACCCCCTCCTCCCCTCCCCATCTACAAACACTTTATTTTCGGATTTATTCCAGAGATGCAAGGGTGGTTCAACATACGAAAATCAGTAAATGTAATACATTATATTAACAAAGTCAAGGACAAAAACCATATGATCCTCTCAATAGATGCAGAAAAAGCATTTGATAAAATTCAACACCCATTCATGATAAAAACCCTGCAAAAAATTGGAATAGATGGTCTATACCTCAATTTAATAAAGGCTATTTATGAAAAACCATCAGCCAACATCATATTGAATGGCCAAAAACTGAAAACCTTCATGTTAAAATCAGGAACAAGACAAGGATGCCCACTATCACCACTTCTCTTCAATATAGTTCTGGAAACATTAGCCACAGCAATTAGACAAGAGAAAGAAATTAAAGCAATAAAGATAGGAAAGGAAGAAGTTAAACTATCATTATTTGCTGATGATATGATACTCTACATTGAAGATCCAAAAAACTCCACCAAAAAACTTCTAGACTTAATTGACAGATTCAGTAAAGTATCTGGATACAAGGTGAATACCCAAAAATCAATAGCCTTTCTATACACAAATAACAGACAGACAGAAAGAGAAATAAGGGAAAAAATTCCTTTTACAATAGCATCCAAAAAAATGAAGTATCTAGGAATCAATCTAACAAAAGAAACAAAAGATCTCTACACTGAAAACTACAGCACTCTGAAAAAAGAAATCGAAGAGGATATAAAAAAATGGAAAGATATCCCCTGCTCCTGGGTAGGAAGAATCAACATAGTGAAAATGGCCATACTACCAAAACTGCTATATACATTCAATGCAATGCCAATTGAAATTCCAACACTATATTTCACAGAACCAATTTCTTATTAGTTGCAATGGAAAACATAACATTGTAGAAATCAGGCAACATCTTGATGAGGTGATCAAAATTATCACTAGTGTGAGAAAAATGGATATTGCATGCCTCCATACATGATATTTTGAGGAGGACATGGCATTCCTTATATAGTATTCTGGTCAGCAATACATGTATTGAATCTTATGAGAAAGTATCAAACAAAACCAAACTGAGAGAGAGAAAAAAAGGAGGCAGGGGGATTACAGTCATGAAAAAATGTTAATATCATATAAGAAAGGAAAAGGCTGTGAGAATATTCCAGATTAAAGGAGACTACAGAGACATGACAACAAAGTATAATTACGGATCCTAAGCTGTAACATGTAATGAAGCAATAACAAAGTCTATAAAGGACTTGAATTCAATCTTCAGAATTAGAATATGGATAGTATCAATATTAAATTAACCAAAGTTGAAAAGTATGCTGTGGCACAGGGCTACATCCACTTTTATTCAGCTATAGATAGATGATATAGATATAGATATAGATATATTTGAGGGGGTAGTAGCAGGGATTGAACTCATTTCCTTGCACCTGTGAGGCAGGTGGTCACTGAGCTATATCCCTGGCCCTATTTGTATTCATAAATTGTTTGATACTGAGCCCCTTGAATAGTTCTTGGCATGTGGAAAGCATTAGGTGAGTATTAAATAAATAAGTCTTGTGTTTTGGATCAGTCCAGTGTTAATCTTTACAGACCTGCCTCTGAGGGCTCACTGCTGGCATTCAGTCTTAGCTGTATCACTATGCTTATGGTAGAGACCATCTTCTAATATTTACTCACTGTTTTTTAATTGCCCTATAGTCTGTAGCCACTCTTCTCTTACTACATTTTAATTTCTATTTTTTCAAATCTATTATCTGGTAATAAAGGGATGGGATTTTCTGGGATCCTGTTTTGTCTTTTCTGCTTAATTAATCCCTGGCATGGGATTTGGATATTTTACAGCTTTTGGATCTCTTCATCCAGTGGGACTGGTCAACTTACCTTGCTGATTATGGCCAGCCCAACTGCAAGTACCTACGGGTAAACCCAGTAACAGCTCTGACCCTGCTTGAGAAGTGAGTACCCAGCCCAGTGGCCTATGTTGGGAATAGGGGAGTTGGGATAAGGGGATATTGTAGAAGGTAATTTTCCTGCTGCCAATACCTTGAAAAACTTCCTTGTTCTTGGAGTTAACATAGGTGCTGTCTCAATCATTGTAATTGGTAGTCCAGCCTTCTTCTTGTAGCCTCTTAATTCTGAAGCCCCAAAAAGTAAGGCCAAGTACAGAGGCCTTTGACAGTACTGGACACTGACACTGACACTGTCAGCCTAACACAGGAAAGTGTCTTTAGAGAGAATAAAAGAAAGGAAGCTGGCTTAATTTGGAGCTCAGGCTTACCTGGTGAGCACAATGAGAATGGCCAGAGTTACCTGGGTTATAATGATAGATGGAGCCGCCCCACAAAGCAGGTCGTTCCTCTAGCTCCTATCAGACAAGCCCTGGGAATTACTGAAACTTTCGTCTGCCCCCAAATCTGGGCCCCTGCCAGACTGAGCTTTATTGTGCTGACTGCCCCAGGAAAGCTAAACGAACAGAACACTAGCCAGTAAAAGTTTCTCTGCCACAGAGCTATAGTCTTTCTGAAGCAAAGGTACTACCTCTGGAATTGGGTTAGCCAAATCCAGAACATCCCAGAGCTAATATGTCATCCAGAAGCCGGGGTCTCCTATGAATTGCAGCCTACCTCTGGTTTTTGCTCACCTAGCAAGAGCTGGCATGCCAGGACCAAGCCCCTTGTAAAAGGGCAGCTTTCTCTTATAATTGGAATGACTGGTCAGAAGAGCATCCTGCATCTAGGCAGTGTAGAAAATCTACATATGTGGCCAGTTAGGCATATCTCATATCCTAATAAGAAAAAGCCCAGAGTTAGGAGATCAGAGCAGAGCCTGAAGCAGGGGAAGTCCAAGTGTATCTTTCTTAATGTGTGCTATGATTGCCAGAGAGAAAGCGAAGACATGGAGGGAAGGCAAGAGCTGGATGCAGGGCTATGTGTTTGGAATCAAGAGGCTGACATCGTGTCAGGAATGATGTTTCCATTTTAACTTTGTTTCCCATGGTTCTCTCTCCCAATGACCTTCCTCCCTAGGATATCTAGAGAGTAAGTATATTATTCACTTGGGCCTTTTCCATCACCCTGAGGCAAGTCCTACTGGTTTCCTTATTGACACTAATGATTACACTAAAATCCCTACCCTGTAAATTGCCCCCACCCTGACATACTAATCTACTAAACCAGCCTGGTGCCAACTGGCTGGCTACCTCCTCTATCCTTGATCCTTAGAGTGACCCTTGGCTTACTAATTCCTTTGGGGCTGGCAGAGGTGGCAGGAATTTTTCTCCATCAGTGCTAACTAGAGGATTATTCCCACTCTACTTGCTGGCACACTTGGTACTCTTACCAGTTCAGGACTTAAATTTCAGCCCTGACAAAATAGAACCCCTCAGCAGTTTCTCCATCTCCTGGTAGTGAGGCTTACAGCTTTAAGATCTGAAACCTGAGTCCCTTGGAGAAATTCCCTCATTTCAGGCAAGTCCTAATCCCAGTTGAAATAGGAAGACATTTTGACTTTAGAGTTGGTTCTTAAATGGTTACATTCATTATGTATCCAAATGGCTTCTGAGATTCCCTCAGGTCAGTTACTTCTTTAAGGGAATCTTTCACTCCTGTATCTCAGAATCTGTAGATCCAGAAAGTGCAGGCTCACCCACGTCCCATGAATCAGCAATGTGCTAAAAGAATCACCCGCTATCTACCATTCTGAAGGCCTAGCCAGTAACAAAGCTGTCCTAGTCTTGGCAATCAGCAGTTTTAAAGCTTCCTTCCAAATACAGTAGGGAAAAGGCTCCCCAGATCATTTAAAATCCATATCTTCCAGCCTCCTAGGAATCAATCCCTTTACCTCACCCATTCCTGCTTCCTCACAGCCGGCTGCACTAAGCTTGATAGTCTCTTCTGTCTGGCCCTTCTTAGCAAGATAAGAAATAGAAAGACCCAAATACCTGCTAAAGACATTCAAGAAAAGGAAGAGACCTCTATGTCATTGAGAAGTGGTCATAGCTGGACTATAAGAGGACCCTTATGTTCCAGAAGACAAGAGTATATAGGGCCAGGGACTTAGCTCAGTGGTTCTGGTGCCTGCCTCACAAGCACAAGGGCCTGAGTTCAATCCCCGGTACCAAAAAACAAAACAAAACAAAACAAAAAAAAAAAAAAAAAAAAAAAAAAAAAAAAAAAAAAAAAAAAAAAGAAGAAGAAGAGTATATATATATCCTTATATTCCAGAAGACAGAAGATAAGAGACTTTTGGATTGGAAATATTCCTGAGTACAAACCGGCATGTCACTATCACTCCTCAGGGCATGTGGGTTTACCCATATAATGCGTAATTCCAACTCCATGCTTCAATGGCCTAGAAATCTTAGCTTCTGGGATTCAGAGACTGCCCCCTCATCTTTACTTTCCAGAATATTACAGGGGCTCCCGTGGGAGCTGAAGGCCAACTGTGGCTGCCTGTCCCTGGACTGCTTCAAAGAGTTATGGAATTACTGACCACAAAGGACATTAAAATAAATGTCTATGATATAGAAAGTAATTTTTCTTCATTTCCTTTCTTTTTTCACTGTTTTGTGTTATTGTTCTTTAGATTTATAGCATATCCAATGTGGAAGGGGAATCCTTCTCTGGGATCATCTAAAACAAGACCACTTCCACAAACCAAATTGTGCAACTAGTGTGTAAGGACCTAAATACGATCATCACTAGAGCCTTGAGGACCTTTATGCTTTCTTTTTATCCAAGCTCAGTCACCCTTCTTTCCTTCTGCAAGTACAAGCCTCCACATGTGGGTGGTGATTCTGAGTGTGTTTCATGAGTAATTCTAACCCAAAGGAGCTACTTTGAGCTTAAATTAGGGAAAAAAGGTTACAATTAGTTTTGGCTGTCACCATCAGCCAGAGCTGTACAGCTGTGGTTCTCATCAAAATTTTTTTGCCACATAAAATACCTTTATGGAATATGTGATATATACCATATGCTTATTGTATATATGATAATATTGCATACATATAGCAGACATAAATGCCATTGTGGGATCTCTGCCCTTTGACTCACTGACCTCTAATCTGTCTTCTTTGCAAAATACAGCCCACTGAGGGGGGAAAAGTCCCAAGATTAGCAACGGCCCTTGGGAAGTATACCTGGGAGTAACTTATACTCCAGTGTCAGCTTCCCTTCCCTCTTCTGTTATGTCCCCATGCAACCCAGGGAGCAGTGAAGTAAGAGAGCTGACCCAGATCCTAGGGAAAAGTGTAAAGGCTGGTCTGCCCTATCCCAGAGAAATTGGTTTGTCCACCATCCTTAATTCTCTAACACTAAAACTAGCTGTGGGCTGGAGCTGTGGTGTGTAGAGGCTAGAACCAGAGTTAACCATCACCAATAGGTGCTAGGGTTCTATAATGGCAGATTTATAAATTTTGTCAAAATATCTTGGTCAGACTTGAGATTCTGTGACAATTTCTTTATCCATGCTTCCCAGGTCAGGTTCTGCATCTGACGGAACCATTGGCCATAACTGCCCATTATTTGTACACTAGGAATAATGTCATCTTTGGAACCTTAGAATGGCCCAAAAGTCAAAGGTCTAAGAACATGAACAGTCATAATTCAGGGTGTTTTCTTTCTTAAAACCCTAATTTCTTAAGTGAGAAGATAGTCCACCCTTTGTTACTTTCTTTTCTTAACACCGTACTTAGTCACTTGACTACCTATCAAGCCTTACACTGAGACCAAAGAAAAGAGTTTAGTCAAGTCCTTAGTTTCTTTAGGGAAGGGAGAAAATAACCAGCTTGAGTGAGACTTAGAATTATACAGTGACTTTTAGTTACTCATGTTCTCTTGGAATTGCTAGTTTTATGAACATTTTTTTAAGCTTCACTTCCATCTGTAAGGTCCCAACAGGTTCATGAGATAATGAGTGGATCCTGTGCATTCTGTAAAGGACCTAATGTCCAGCAAAGTTCTAGTATATCTCATACTCCTGTATCAGGTGCATCACTGGGGAGAAAGGGAATGAATGAGGTGGGTAGATGTGAGGGGGATAAGAAAGTTGGTCCCTCCAAAGCTGGCTCTTGACTATTTTCCAAATATGACTAAAATTGGGAGGGCTGAGCATTCCAGAAGGGAATGATCAGTATGATCAATATGTAAGTACAGTCCTAACAATGGGAAAAGTCTGGACTCTTCCACTCTGGGTAGTAGTTAAGATATATCATGTCATCCTACTTTCTGCAATTTCTCTTCTAATATCTTCTCAAATACTTTCTTCTCTTTCTTTCCTCCTCTGTGCAGGATGAAGGATACTAGCCGCAAAAACAACATGTTTGCACAGTTTCGGAAAAATGAGCGAGACAAGCAAAAATTGATTGACACTGTGGCCAAGCAGCTCCGAGGACTCATCAGCAGCCACCACTCATGAATGCTGGCCTCAGCCTACAGAGGCTACTTCCTGCAGCTCTATGGTCTAGGATCCAGCTCAAGCTGGCACTGCATTTGTGCATTCTTCTTCAAAGAGAGCATATGTATTTTTTTATTAACCCTGTACAGTATTCACATAATCTTTCCCTAGTAAAAGAGATACAGGATAAGCAAGTACATAAGATGTTGCTAGATGGGGACTTGGGAGGTTATTACTACACTGTCTGTATTATCCTACAAAGGGTGGTGTCATCATTCTTAATATGATGAACCACCTCTCATCCATGGCTCTACAGTTTAGGTAATTGGAGCCCCAGAACTACCCAAACAAAGTGGGTGATTTTTCTGGGCAGTAAGGTGAGTAAGCAAGAGGATAATAAAGTATATTCTCTTCGCTCCTGAGTGCCCAGTCACCACATAGATGATGCTGATCCTTCCTGATGCAAGGAAAGGGCCTATCATTCATTACTATTTAATACACTAATGACAGTTCTAGATGTCCATTTCTCAGTCTGACTGGGGTGAACAGGCATGGTTTGTGGCAAGGTGACAGCTTCACTTCAGTCCCCCAAGGATGCAGTTTCTTTAGTCCTAATCTGACCCAAGGGTTTCACTGCTTATTTTTCTATGGCAGGATAAGCAGCAGTCCCAGGATTCACTGCAGATTGCTCTCACATGAGTGTTGGTTCTCAGCCTAGGGTGTTTTTCTGGGTCTGAAAAGCAAAAAGCTTGAATTAGAGCCCCAGTCTTTTTACTGTTTACCTTATTACCTTTTGTTATGGTTGGAACACTTGGCTCAAAATTTAGGTCAACGATTATTCCGTAGGTACTCACAGAGAGAGTCCCACCTTCGTTCTCCCAGTAGTGCCATTGAGATTGGTCAGATCTCAGAAATTTAAAAATAACCCTTACTTTATTTACCCTTATGTAAAACCCAAGGACTCCGTGGAGTATTCATTTGTGCTTAGAAATAGCTTTCTGGTCTCCTTATTTAAAGGAAGTGTCCCCAGCTCTGCACTGTGGAGGCAGCCATGTCTGGAGTAGGCGTGAAGCTACTGCCACCATGAAGTAGACAGTGCCAACTATGGCTAGTAGCATGTTTCCTCTGGCCCAGTTGCCATTTTTAATGGCAAGTTTAAAATCAGTTAGAGGAACCTATACTTTCAGACATTTCAGAAAGATGCTACTATAACTACTGGTTATAGGAACTATTAGTACATCACCAAACAATGACATAGAAGCCATGTGGGCATTTCCAGCTTAGGGTTAGTGGAAGAAGAGATTCATCAAGTAGAATTTTTCATTACTTTTGTCAGCTCTTGAGTTGCTTCTGAGGAGAGCAGTACTTCCTTTTTCCTTCCCCACCTTCTCCCATTATTATATCATGTCTTGAAAAACTATGGATAAGAAAATACACATATTGATGTGCAGCCCTGTTCAAAGCTGGAACAACCAGACTGCGTTGAAATTCTGCAGAAGCCTGTAACACTTATCCTACAGGCTAGGCAGTTGGCTCAGGGTTTTCATAAGCTAAAGGAGGTCAGGGGCCTATGGGAATGAGACTCAAGCAATTCCAATACCTATCTTTGTTGGAAAAGGTGAGAAATGGTTGCACTAATCTGAAGTCCTATTAATTGAGAAAGACCCAAAATACTAGTACTAGTACTTTGCTAGTACTCAGTTTATAGTAAGATCTCTTCAGCTTTGCATGCTGAGACTTTGAATAGAGTGGAGTGAATTTCCAACATGGAACAGCATTTGTCTTTCAAGAAAGTCATCATTGCTGTTCTACTCACAAACATCTGTCCTAGAAGAACTGTACTGTAAAATAAAAGGTGAACAGCATGGAGAAATAGGGACTACTCTACACCTTTGACATGAAGTCCTGCTAAAAGAAAAGCTTATTCAAGCACAAGACTCATAAGGATGGACCTTTTGATGTATCTCCTCTTCCTTCTCCATCTGCCTTTACACCTCCTTAACAAAAGCAGCATGCTGCTTCTGAGGTATATGTAGAGACATACTCTCAGTGGGCCAGGAAAGGTAAAAACAGGGACCAGCAATATCAAGGGGTTTTGAATTGGTGAAGTGGGAGTTTGTTTTGTTTGCTGGCCTATAGCTGAGCCAACACTTGTAAGGACTTATGCAAAGCATGTGTGCTCATACCCCTCACACTCCTCAAATTTAGCCTCACATGCCTACATATATACTAGTGACCTGATGACAGACTTTAGGAAGAAGGCAAAAACATGGGTGGTTAGAAGCCTTCTACCTTCTGGTTACTGTGAGCCTTTGTCCACATTCCTGGGAAACCCAGGCATATGTTCCTGAAGAGAATCTGATTTGAGACCGTAGTGGGTTTCAGTAGTGATATAGACAGCTTGCTTAGTTTTAACACTCATAATGAAGTCTCTGAGCAGACTGGATGACACTATTGCAAGTGGGGAAGAACAACAAGGACCTGGAATTAGAACCAGCAAAGTCACTGTTGGCATAGGGAATGTACAGCTCCTAGGGAGTACTCCTGGTGATTTCATTGCATCCCAGGTCAAACAGTCTCCCTGTCCTCAAAGTTATCTAGCTTTGCTGCATACTTGACAAGTACTTGCTTATCAAGTCCCAGACCCAGGAAAGATTGGCATTGGCCATGACCTTCCCCCTCAGGTCTCTGAACACACTGTCTAGGGACTACTTCAGAAATCCCCCTACCTAAATCTGTCTTCTCCAAGGACTCTTCTGACTGCTTCAGTTGCCTCTTTTTTGTCTCTCTTTTCTTTTTTTCTATTTGTTTTTCCATTCTTTATATTCCCTTCCTTCTTCCTTTTGTTTCCTCTTTCCTTTCTTTTTTCCTTTCTTTGCTTGCATTTACAATGACTTTTCACTATATGTTTGAAATTGTCCTTTTATTTTGCACAAGTAGATATACATTTATGGGGAAGTTTTAGTGAAGTCCATTTTTAACTCTAAAGGGAACTTTTTTTTTCTCTAAAAATCACTAGTAAAGCTACTGATAAGTGGGCCATATGGTTAGGAGAAAGTGCCTCTGTGGAAAGAGCATGTTTATTCCTCTTGTACATTTTCTTCTTTTAATTGCTATTAAACGAGAGAGCCTACATACCTGTTTTAAAAGCCACAGCACTGTCTCATGGGTTTTTTGTTCTTCCATCACTTTTGCACAGTGTAGGTGTGGTTGGTGATAGACACCCCAATGGCAGACACTGTATTCCCACTCAGCTGGACTGAGGAGTAGAGTAGGCAGGAGCCTGGTGTAGTAGAGAAAGGCTATCTGCTACATAAGACAAGAAGCTGTGTTGTGGCCTTGGAAATCTCCCTAACCACTGGGTTAGGTTTCCCATCTATTCAGCTACAACTGGGATCATCATCAAGAGGAATAACTTGAAATGTCTAATTTTTGAAAAATCCTAAGCTAGACAGTGTGGGGGTCCAATGAGTTTTGAACACCAGCCCTGCTTAGAAAGACTCCCCCCAGCCTGGAGAAGGAGGAGAGATGAGCCTATTTGAGAGCTCAATGGAAGAGAGCAACCGGTATCTTGACTAGTGTAAAAAAGGATCTGACTGTCAGGGATTTAGCTTAGTGGCACCATGCTTGCCTGGCAAGCACAAGGTCCTGATTTCAATCCCCAGTACCAGAAAATAAATAAAAGGATCTGATTAGGGAAGATAGCACAAAGAATGCAAAATGTCAACTAGCTCACCCTTGAATTAATTCAATTCAAACTTGTGTAAGCTATGGGAGCATTTAAGTTCTAGACTACATTAGAGTGCAAAATTGGCAGAAGCCTGATATGTGCTGGGAAGATAATCTGCTAGGCACATTTGGAACCATGGTGTGTAAGGACCAGAATGTCAGTGTAGAAGTTCACAACATACTTACCTCTTAGGCTGGAAGGTAAGCCTTGAAAAGAGGCTGGGAAGAATATCTTCAGTAATACCTTGCTTTGATGGGCATTGACACCTGAGAGACCTGAATTTCTATACCCACAGCACCACTAACTAGCTGGATGATCTTGAACAAATTCGCCAACTCCCTAAATCTTATAATACCAGTGAAATCCGAATGATGGGCCCTAGTTTTCAGTGATGTTGTGACATGTGAGCCATGGAAAGCTGAAATGCTGAGCCATCGCACATGCACAATCTAAGGCCTCTGCCCTTCTCTCCAATTCCATAACATGTCTCTTGGCCGAACATTGGACAAGTGTGCCCAAAGCTGCTCTGCCTCCTGGTTTCCTCTCCTGAGCCCACACAGGGTTGGTGGTAATGATGCCCTTCATGCACCTGTACAGGAAGCAGGAACTTTTCAGATCAGACCTCCAGCTATCTAGCTTAATGTAAAACTAGTCCTTCAACTGGAATTTGTCCCTCATCACCCCTAGAACCTTCTCTTCTTTCACTTTGGTGCCAAAACATATACTTCCTTCTAGAACTTAGGAGTTCTTCACCAGGGACCCCCCAAACCTTGAAGTGTCTGTGTGTGGCTGTATGTATGGGCTTTCACCTACCCATGTTTACTGGAAGAAAATGTGTGGCTTTCATTAATGTCTAAGAAAGATTCATGTCTAAAATACCATGAATAATAAACAAATCCCTTTGGAAATGTTGCCCTATCCATGAGAGAAAGCCAGAAGTTCTGAGCAGCAGCCTCCTCTCCCTGCTTCCTACAGCTCCGGCAGGTTTCCACAACCTGCCACTCTACCATCCACCCCCGGTCACATCTAAAGATGAGTAAAACCACTTCTTGCTTTTTCTGGCCACAATGGCTTGTGGTACTGAGAGGGAATTCAGAGGCCTACAGTTGATTAGGGAGATGACAGACAAGAAGGCCATTACAGAGGCTTGGCCATCATAGTCCAGCGAACCTGACTCATCATAACATTTTCCACAACCTCTGGGTGCTGACTGTTACAGCTTTGGGCCTAAGGCTTTATCCAGGAGGGCTCACCAGTAGGGAATGCTTGGTGGCAGTGGGTTAAAATAAAAACCAAGGGCAAGTTGTGAAGCATTTACCAGCTTCCCCTTTCTCACAGCTGGTCAAGCTGATGAGGATGGGGAAGAGGGGGAGGGAAAGTGCCAGACTCTGTCCCCAGAGGCCTCATTTTGAATTTAATGGGCAGCATTTGTGGGGAATGAAAGAGGCTTCAAGCCCAAGGGACCATGAGACAAAGGCTCTTGAGGAAGTGCAAGGAGGAGGAGGGCCCAGGCATTGTGTGTGAGAGCTCTCCCTCTATCTGTTTCATCGCTGTTGGGGTTAGGGTTACCCTGCATTTGGGGCCCCAGCTGCTTTGTGGGGTCTGTGACATCAGCCCTTGTGATGATAATGGATGGGCCTCTCACACAGGAGGCACCTCTTCTTTGCTAACCCATACCAGCTTCCAGAGAGGATTGAAGCTCTTGTTCCCTTAGGGTGGGGGCAAGCTGTGGGCCCAGAATTGGACCCAAGACAACAGTGCCCCTCCCAGACTGAACCCACTGTTCAGTGTACCTTCCAAGCCCAAGCTATGACCTTCCTCTCTCCAAAGCTCCAGAAAAGGAAAGGAATCTGAACATTGAGATGCTTTTCTGGCCCTAAACAATCCTCCCATTCTCTAGGCTCAATGATGGGTCTATTCCCTCCTGTAAATGGGTCTCGTAATCTTCAACTTTTACCTTTGCTTCTAAGGGTAATTAATTGGATCTCTCTCTTGTTCTCCCCACACACTCCCCTCTCTGTTACAAGGCTCAGGTTAAGCTGGCTCTTTTTCTATTCTATGGGGTGCTTATTTTTAAAGCTGGTGGACTAAAGCCCTTCCCTCCCCTTCTCCAGAGAAGCCCACTAGGGGAAATGACTTCCACAGACACCGGAAAGGGGCTCATGACTATGACAGCTAGAGGCTTTTCAGATTATCAGTTCTAAGTGACTACGACACTGTGTTCCCCGAGTGTGTTTCCAAAGGTTTAGAGAAAAAATAGTTTGCAGTCAGCACTCAAGAGCAAAGTGGAGGGTTAAGTGTGCTTTGGACAGTAGACAGATGTAAAGATGGCTTGGGGACATGGGACAAAGTAAGACCGAGAGATCAATCTTTTTTATTTATTTATTTTTTGACCAAAGTAAAGAAAAGCAGTAAGGCCTTAGGTCCATGGCAATAAGGTAAGAAAGGTGAGAATATAGCCCAGTCAGGCATGTAGGGGCAGCTGAACCCAGGGCTGCCAGGAAGATGAGTCAGGCAGGCATGAAGCCAAACTCCAGAGAGACTGGTAATTTCTAGTTACCTGTGGACTTGTCACATTCTAGTAGATCATGAGTTCTTAGAAAGCTGAAACAATTTACTCCTATTTTAATCCCCTACAGTACCTAGCCTAGCAAATGGCGTGGGCACTCATGACTGAAAGAAAACTATAAAGGGACTGTCAGGTACCAAGGGAGGGGGCTCTGAGAGCAGTATTCCCTGGCTGGAGGAATATTCTGTTGCTAGCATTGACTAGGGTTATCAATATAGGACAGAAACCAACCAACTAAGATAACTTTTAGGGAGTTTTACTGTGGCTTTAGAATACATATACCAGCCTTCCCTTTGATGCCATTGAGTATGGAAGAGGTTAAAGATAGGTTGAATCAGGTAAGAAAGTAGCAGTTTAGTCCTTGATCAGCAGGATGTCCTAGTGGTGTGATGACTGTGTGTGTAAATGTAAATATGTGTATTTGTGGGTATCCAATGTGTATGGGGTAGCAGACAGAATTGGAATATTCTGCACTGAATCCAATCCTTTTTCCCACTTATAATCACTGTTCATGCTGTGATGATATTCTTTCAGATTATTTTAATGTGTATGTACTGACTAAAAAATTATAGTGTTTTATAGTTTTTTCACTTAATTTAAATATCTTTCATTGACAATATACAGAATTTCTTCATCCTTTATGAAACCCATGAAGTATATGCTTTGCATGGATGGGCTATAAGTTTATTTAATCAATTCTAAATTGATGAATATTTGGAGTATTCCTAGTATTTCACCTTATATACAATGTTGCAGGATATTGTAGATATGTTTGCTTATTAGGTATTCCTATAGCATAAAATTTGAGTAGAATTGATTGGCTGACCAGTTAAAAACTGTATTAGAAGATTTTTTAAAAATCAACAATTTACACTCTCCAGTAGTCTATAAAAGAGTGTATGTCCTCAGTCCTAAGTAAATCAGAATTTTCATCTTTGTCAATCTTATAAGCAAAAAATGAATTATTTCCCTTTATTATAATCTACATTAATTTATAGTTTCTTTAATTTAAGCATCTTTTTACGTTGTTCATTGGTCATTTGAATTCCTTTTTATATAAACTGGCTATCCATACCTTTAAAAAAGTAGGCTGTTTTCTTTTCCATATCGATGTGTAGATCTTTGAATGAGTAACTTTAACTATTTGCTACTTGCATTGCAAGTATGTTTCTCAATATGTCTGTTGAATTTGTTAATGGTGTATGTAATTCAAATTCTTTATTTTGCAGGCAACAAAAAACTCAACTCAGAAAAGCACATTTACTGACTAAAAGACTAAAGGTAGTTCAGGGTTAATTTAATTCAACTAAAACATATCAAAGTCCTGTTTTCTTTCCTTCTCTCTACTCTGCCTTTTATGGTGACAAGGCCATCCCATATCTTACTTCTCGCATGGCAACTCTGCCAAAGGAGTTAGGAAGTGTGAACATACACCCTCAAACAAACTGCATTGCCAAGGGCCAATACACCATAGGGAGGGTGGTGGAGAAATACTAAGGAAACATTCACAATATTTGCTACAGGGATGTGGGTGTGCATTTGTTGTGGAGGGTTGCTTGTTTTGCTATGGAAGAGTTTTTTTTTTT